GCCCCGCCCCAGACCATCTCTGCCCTGAACAACCTCTATCCAGGCCTTGCTAATCTCTATACTTCCATTCCCTTTTTGTCTCTTCTGAAGCATCTTGTGGGAGTGAACTTTCTAAAACAAAAACTATATTACTCTCTTGCCTGGAAATCTTCCATTTCCTCCAGCATGAAGTCCAAGCTCCTTAGTTGACATGGACAGCTGTTTGCCTGACCTTCCAGCCAGCACATGCCCTTCAAATCATACAAAGGCAACTTTTTCCAGACCTCACTCTGCTGTAGTCCCACTGAGCCCCCAGCCTTCTGAGCATCTCCTTAGAGGCCCCTGCAACCCCTCTGTCCTGCACAGAGACTTCATTTTCCTTCCCTGGCATTACCAACACCTATTCAAACCCCCAAACCCAGAAGGCAGGTCTTTGAAGGACTTCAGAAAGGAAGGCCTAGAGGACCCAGCATTCCATGTCAATAAGTCTCCAAATCTCTCCACCACCTCCCACCTTGACACGGAAAGAGGATTCATAAAAGGAAGTTCAAGCTTTCAGCTACCTCTTCCTGACTTATCCACACCTCCACAACCACTCTAGCAACCGCTCCTAACATTTCACTCTCCATCACGATAGCTACTTCCTATCTCTTGAATAGATAAGTTCCACTGGTCTCCACCAAAACCATATTTCCTCTCTCTACTCCTCTAGCCTCTTTAGAAAATCTATTACAAATTTCATACCTGCAAATATCAATATTCATATGCAGTCAATTATCATCCAAGGTAGTCCTATAAAATATCTGAGAATGCTGAATTTGTGAATACTGAACCATTGCTCCTAGGGGAAATACAGTTGGGTTCCTGGGAACCTCCAGTCACAACATTTTCATCAATCGATTGATACATCACCTTGTATGTTTCTATTTAAAGTCACATTTAAGGGGCGCCTGGGTGGCGCAGTCGGTTAAGCATCCGACTTCAGCCAGGTCACGATCTCGCGGTCCGTGAGTTCGAGCCCCGCGTCGGGCTCTGGGCTGATGGCTCAGAGCCTGGAGCCTGTTTCCGATTCTGTGTCTCCCTCTCTCTCTGCCCCTCGCCCGTTCATGCTCTGTCTCTCTCTGTCCCAAAAATAAATAAAAACGTTGAAAAAAAATAAATAAATAAAGTCACATTTAATATACATTAACACCTATATTTAGTATATGTTGTTGATTTATTAACATTGAAGTCATGGTCATGGTATAACTAGTACCTGAAGTATTTTCTCCATAAGGCACAGCACACCTTAGGAACACTAGACAACACTTCAGCACTATGCTTCAGGGCCATTTTAAACAGTAAAATCCCCACCAAAAAGCACAAGAATACAAAAAGTGTACCATTGAATATACTATGAAAAGGACATTGATTTACAGTATGAGAGCAGAGTGTCACCTGTTCAGCCTAAGCTGGGAACACATGATTTTCATTACTCTGTGCATGTCCATGAATATCATGAAAGTGTGAGTGTTGGTTTTGAGGGTTACAAGTAGATTTTAGCAACCAGGTGAATTTGCAAATATGGAATCAGAGTAATGAACACTAACTATATATAAACATATTTGAAGTTAAAAATCATAAAAATGCATCTACCTACCACCCAGTTGCAGAAACAGACATTACCAATCTTTCAGGACCCCTGTGTTCTTACGTAACATAAATATGTATCTCTAAACAACATTGTTTGCATGCTTTGAACTTTGCATACAGTAAATCACCCTATATGTGTTCTTGAGCTTGTTTTTCTCAATAAGTTTGTGAGGGTTACACATGTTGCTGTGTACAGACAGCTGTAGTTCACTGTCTTCACTGATGATAATACTCCACCGAATAAGGAAACCCAACAATAAACATTTGAGCTTCTTACACTGTTTTGCTATTATAAACAATGCACTAGGAATATTCTTGTATGTATCCTGTGTTCAAGAATTTATTGGGGCACCTAGGTGGCTCAGTTGGTTAAGCATCCTACTTTAGCTCAGGTTGTGATCTCACGAGTTGTGGGTCCGAACCCCATATGGAGCTCTCTGCTGTTAGCACAGAGTCTGCTTTGCATCCTCTGTCCCCCTCTCTTTCTGTGCCTCCCTGCACATGCATGCTCTCTCTCCCTCTCTCTCTAAAATAAATTAATTTCGGAGCGCCTGGGTGGCTCGGTTGGTTAAGCATCCGACTTCGGCTCAG